TATTGGTCACAATGACAAAATGCAGAATAACTTTTTTCTTCTGGTAGGTGATGTAAGGTAAGTAAAATTAACAGCACCCCACAACTTACTCCTGCTGAAAGCTGGCATGAGTCTGTACTGCCTGTACACTTCCAAATTGGCTAGTAAAGCTAGCCATCAGTTCCAAACAGTTATTGAATGTTTACAAAACAAAGGATCCTTCTGTAAAAAGGCTGACGAATTCAAGACTGCTGCTACAGGTTGATACTCAAAAATGTACCATGAAATAAGGAAAGGGCTTTGAGCTGACATTAAAAAAAAACCCCAAACCTATAATAGGTGCAATAAAAGATGTGCTAAAACCTCTTTAAAACTGCAAAGAAACTGTAACATAATGACTGCCTGAAACAAAATAGGAGAGAAGAATTAATCCCCCAGCTAAGGTCTTATTTAATTTGCTTTAACAAAGTCTGTAATGCCTATTGCTCTGCTGTTCTAATGATGTAGGCTAAGACACAGGAGATAAGAAAAGCCAAGACACTGAAAGCTGTTGTAAAACTAGGTCACTGTTAAATTAAACATTTTATGAAAAATATAACCTACCTTGAACAACTCTGAAAACCTCTTTGCTTTTTGTTCATGCCCTCAGCCTGAGAGAGACACGCTGCTGTACTGCCTTCATGGGAAAAAGCACCAGATTCCTGACGACTGAACACCCACCCCCCAAGCCAGCTCCGTTTTTTCTTGTAATTAACAACTGCTGAATATTTATGAAGTGTCACGGGGTAACACTTACTCATTGGATCAACAACGCTGTTGGTTTGCAAACTAAAAAGAAAACACTGGCCCTACCTCGGAGCACGGCAACCACTGACTGCAGCTACACCAGCTTCCGCTTTTCCAAGCTTTTCAAGCACCAGGAGAGGAGGATGCTATTGGCAGAAAGTTAGCGATATCTACTCTTTTTTTTCAGATGATCACAGAGGAACATGCTGTGATATGACTCTTTTCCCCATGTGAAGAAGCTGTTGAAATACCCTGGAGACTCCCACTGCTGAGCTGTGAGTAAGAATTAGCTCAAGCCCTGTGAGCGTATGTAACTCTAGAGTCAGAGCCACCATATGCAGGGGTTGAAAGCTGTACATTTCAAAGCTGATAAAATGACCTCTTTACAGCAATGAGGATAATACAACTTTAAGAGAGTATTTCTTGGCATGGGGGGAGTTTCCTACTGCTGCAGTCTTCAGTAGACAACAAGATAACTTTACAAAAGGTGTGTTTCTGTACTTGCAATTTCTGATAAAGAAAAGCTGATCAAATATTTTCAATAGTAAATGTTAGTAAAAATGAAAATTTTAGCTCAGGTTCTTCAGTTTCAGTATCTTTAGGGATAGGTGATGTTCTGTACCAGCTGTGGACTGTGGTGATCTCTTCTGGGTTTTAGATCTCATCATAAAATACAGCAGAGAGGGAACAATAAAAGTCTGCCCTCCTGGCCAGAAAAATGTGTGCTGGTCTCTCCCCATGCATTCTTCCCCAGTGCTTATTGAGCGTAACAGTGTTTCAGACGGAAGGTCTTCTTCTGCAAGCTTTGTTGTACGTGCATAGTTCTATATCAACTCGAGATGTCCCACTGATCGAAATGGAACGGTTCCTGCACCTCTAATCATACTTGTCAAACCGCTGGACTCTCCCACTGGGAAAGAGGTTAAACTGAGAAACGATCTCTGTGATGAACAGAGTCTGACTACGTTGTTTTCAGCATAAAGATCAATGCAAATGCAAACCTAGCTTGGTTTTATCTGGTTTTAATTATGTATCATTTATTTTAGTAGTTAATGCATGAAATTAAAAAATGTTGCTAAGCCATTTTTCTTCACACCTTTTATTACTTCCATGAACCAAAGAATAGTTGCTACTTAAGAGAAGCCACTAGGCAAAGATTTATTTAATTATAGTATAAAATCTGTAAATAAGACATGAAATATTATCCAAACCTGAAATGCCATTTAAACTGGTTTTATTTATAATTTTCCTTTTCTTTTGTTTGTAATTGTTGGTTACAATTTCTTCTGTTGAGCACGATTAAAATAAGCACAGTGGTCACTTTTGCTTTAATGTTTCTGATCAGCTTCTTTTTTAAGCATCATGTGCTGCTGTAAGACAGTAATACTCAGCCTGGAATTACTGTCAGGAAACATACTGGTAGTTTCTTTGAATTGCAATGTTAATATATGTGTGAAATATTTTCTATCAATCTCGTATTTTGAAAATGGCATTTCTATAGAACATGCATTTTAGTCTGAGTTAACCTGATATATTTAAGCACTGTGTAATGCATGTACAATCCCTTGAGGGAGCTGTGAGAAAAAGACTGTGTTGAGCAGTCATGAAACAGTTTTTCCTGAACAAACCTTATATAAGACACTGAAATATTTAATCCTTGGTATTACAAGTAGTCATACCCCAGCATAATTCAATATAACTATTGATTTAAAATGTTTTGCTGAGAAAATTTCTGTAAAAAAAGAAATCTTTATTTCATAGGTAGCCATTCTCTCTTTCCTCCTTTGCCAGACAACCTTGTGTGGCAAATAATGTATAACATGCTCAGGTTAATCTTAAGGGAACGACAAGTAGTTTAAATTCAAACTTGATATAAATGGAACTACTTTTTAGATTAAAAAGTATCCCAAAAATATCCTGTGATGTTTGAAAGGTGCAATCTCTTTGAACAAAAAAAATCAGGGTCCACCAAGGTCAGAATGTTTTAACCTGCCACAGAAGTTTTTAAATGCCCACAGCTGATATCTGAACCAAATCAATTGAATCAACACCTTGTGAAGTCTGGTAAGGGTCAATGAGCTTGCGTGAGGCACAGCAGAATTTTGCCACTAAGATGCAATTTTGAGTGTGACAGGTAAATGAATGTATATAGTCTGTGATGATGAAGGACATTTTAGAAGAAGCATGTACAAACTGTACAGGCTGGAACCTGGCTTTTGCCAGACTAAGGAAAGAGTAGCCAGTAATGGTAGAGATGGTGATATTGATCCGGTAGAAATGGAAGTGATGTAGAGTTGCAGCAGAAATAAATTTTTCTTCTTAATTTAGCATTTGAATTATTGCAGCAGTTTAGTGTACCAGACATCACCAGAAAGTGTCCTGGGCAGACTACAACCATAAAATAACAGGATATCCCTGCACATGACAGTTTTTGGTGTCAATCATCAGGTTTGTGAAATTTAAGCCTAATTTTGATAAGATGTTAGGAAAGGGGGGAACAGGGTCACCACAGAAGGGCCTTTAAGACAAGCTACGCAGGTTAATAAAGTAGCCTTTCCTCTGCACAGCTGACAGCCTTCACAACTCTGTGCAGAGTTTCAACTGTGATAGTGAGTCCGATGTGTGGAAACCAAACCTTGGAAATGCACAAACTTTAGCACAGAGATAGGCACGGGTGCCTCCTGTCAGTGGTCTGCCCTACTGCTTTCCAGCATATGGCTTTCAGACCTGACAGTCAATTTTGGGCACAACTTGCCTTCTGGAGGAAAAGAAAGGGAGTAAAAATCTCATCCAACAGAGAAATTGGTGGATAATATCCATAGGAAGTATGCAAGCTACTTCGCACACCTAATTAATGTGCGGACACTCCTCCTGGTCAACAGCAATGGCTTTTGCCCATGGGACAGGTCTGTGTAAAAGAGCTGGGTCTCCAAACCATTTTGTCGAGATGTGGTGCTTGTTAGGACTGATGGTGGTGTGTGGAGCCCTAAATATCGTGTAAGCACAGGCATTAGCTAGGAAATCCTGGCTGTTGGAGGACTGTCACCCAGAGATGAGGCTTTCCTGGTTTCAGGAGAAAGAATTTTGCAGAACGCTTTAATTGCGCTGTGCAACACATAAACAAGAGTGCAACACAAGGCCCTGCCTCCGGGGCTGCGCCGAGTGCCCCAGAAGCAGCCGGGGTGGCGGGACGCAGGGGCTGAAGCTTCCTCCCTGTCACCAGCAAAGGGCGGCTGGCTCGGAACCGGGGGGAAGCGGCGGCGGTGCCGGGCGGGGGAGGCGCGGCCGGGCCGCCCGCAGCGGGCGCTGCTGCGGTGGGCCGGGGCCGCCCGTCACCGCCCCCGCCCGCCCGGCGAGGTCGGGCGGCGCAGCGCGGGCCGGCGGGGCGGGCGCGGTGTGCCCGCGTGCTCTGCTTGCAGCGGCGTCGCCCCGCCGCCGTCCCCGCCGCAGCCTGAGAGGCGCTGAGGAGAACGGGAGGTTTTTGGAAGAGGCGCGGAAAGGAGCCCGGGCTGACCGCCGGCCCCGCCCGCAGGCTCACGCCATGCTAAGGGCGCTTCCCCGTCCCTGAGGAGAGGCGAAGGGGCGGCCGGGGACGGCGGCGGCGCGGTTGCTAAGGTAATGGGAGTGGGCTGCTCTCCTTGCCGCTGTTTTCCTGCTTATCCGCATTTGTGTGGCGAGCGGTTGCCGGTCGGCTCTGCCCTGGCAGCGGGATACCGGTGCTGGTCCCGCCGCGGAGAACGGAGCCCCGAGCCCCGGCGGGAGCGGCTGCGCGGGCGGCGCCGGGGTGGGAGGTCGCTCCCAGTCGGGAGTAGCGGACAGGTGCAGGGCGGGGTGTGTGTGTGTGTGTGTGTGTTTTCGGGGAGAGGCTTCGGAGAAGGACGAGAAGGAGCGAGCACTGGGGTACAGCTTGAAGGGGGAGCTGGTGCCCTGTGGGAAAACTTGGAAACTGTTTCGCTTCGGTAGCGTATGGCAATAATACACTTCCATCCGCTGACAAAGTGCGTTTGCATGAAGACAGATCGGTGTGTGAGAGTAAAGCTGCCAGGCACTCTGCTTCCAGAGCCTTCATCTCCTGTGACACTAAAAGCATCTTCTTAGTCACTAGCTGTGATGGCATAAATAGAGGAGTAGGTTGCGGTGCCAGTAAGAAGCTTCAAGTGTTTTTCTCTGAAGAAGATGCAGATTTTTGTATAGATACCGGTACGCTGCCCTTATACGCTGCAGACATAATAGCAGACAGGGCTGCCGCTCCAAGGAGCTGACTGCGCCTGTGACTCGGAGCTTGGCGTCCCGTTTGCATCGGCGCTGCCCTCGCTGCCTTTTGGAGCCCTTGCTGGGACGGCCTAGGTAAGTCGGGGCTTCCTTCAGCTGACCTGCAAGGGACTTGCCAGAACGGCATCCCAGTTATAGTCTGCGTGCTACAGAGCAGCATGACGCTTTCGAATGCTTCCCTGAAATTAAAGATAGGCATAATTGCTTTTGATTGTTTTTTATTTGCTGACTGCCAGTGTGTAAAGATTGGAAAGCAGGAAAATCTATGTTTGGTAAATAAAGTCATGCTGTGAAACTAACCTTTGTGTCAGTGTGTTACGATAGATACTGGTGGTTTCCCACCCCAAAGAAAGCTATGTTTCGTTTGTGTTCGTGAGCTGTGAGTGTGAAAAGCGCTTTGTAAAGGTATAGTGATTTTTGTAATTGCTTGCTGAAGAATATAGTGAAAGAGGTTAACTGTAGTTCAAAGCTTTGGGGATTTAAGACATTTAATATCATCCTAAATATTCTCCAAGTCCAATGGGATTTATTTTGAAGTGGAAGGTTGTGTTTATTTGATATAATAAATTTCTTTTTTTAATGCCAGATTTATTCTAATTTTGCAGATTGTAAGAATTAACAATTATTTACTATGTTATGATCCATAATACTTTCTCACCAGCTGATTTGGAACACTTGCACTATATTTCCTTGTAAATCTGCTTTAAAAAGAGGTTGGACGTTCGAGAACAGTTATTGACTTGGGGGCATGTGGTTACAAGCACAGAATAATAGCGTTCATTGCTTGAATATGCGTGTGAAATGCTGAAGAAACTGTTTAGACTCAGCCAATATTGACTTTATTTTTAGATGAGCTGTTCCTTTTTCTAATGACCCGGCTGATAGAACAATTGATGACCAACATTACAGTTTCCTTTCTAACTGGCTACAAGTGTAGTGGAGTTTAGATAGCCCTTCCTTTTCCCATTCTGAACTCTATTAGAAGGAGAAGTAGTTGTTTGCTACACGTCTTATACTGAGGTTTATAGTAATAGATGTTTGAAGATTACTGTTCACCTACCTGACTGATTTTTCTGGTTTTTTTCTTACTACCCTTCCCTTCTAAGTAAAGGCACAATAAGAAGCTGCTTATAGTCATTGTCGACGCTGCTCGCCTTAGTTTCTCTCTGACAGTTCCCATGATGCAGATATCTGTTTTAATCAATGATACTTGAGGATAAGAGGAAAAGGTATGTCCTCTTGAAGCAGCAGTTACCTCCTTGCTAACCACTTCCAAGGGGGTTTCAGTGTCTAGCATGGAATTCTGGTGGAGCACACTGGTATGGCAGAGTTGAGCAGAGCACTTTTAATTTATGGGAGTAACTCTACTTTTGTTAATGTTTCTGAGGCAGTTGGAGGAAGGCTGAGTTTATGGACTGGAAATGCTAGGCTCTGTTGTTGTCCCTTCGAGCAGCCAAAAAGGGGAGAAAAGGAGAGGGCAGTCCTGTCCCAGCAGACTGCAGCAAACTAACAGATGGCGGGGAAAGAGAAGAAGCTGATGTATGTGGAGTAGCAGGAAGAGAACTTAGCTGCAGTGTGTCATTTTAACATGTACGTTAGGATGCTGTTAGTTACTCTCTGGTAAAACTTCGGAATCTTGCAGTGCCATGGCTCGGCAAGATTCTAACAGGAATACAACATTGTTGTGGGGTGGTTACTTTTTTTCTCTCCTTTGTAATGAGTCCTCAGCTTTTGAAGAACGAGGATAGCTAACCTGGAGGTTTTGGCCAGGTATACCTGTGATATCTAAATCAAACACTGCAGTTGTAAAGTGGCAGCAGAACAAGAGCAAGCTGCTCTTCCCTTGCCCAATGTTAGTTTCGCCCTTATGATGGGTTGTTGTATTGTTTGTGCTTATCACCTGAAGCTTCAGTTGCATTTCTGCAAGCACATGTGGACGCTCTAGGGGGGAGATTGTAGAAACAAACAGGTCCTCTTCACTAAGCGGTACTGGACTGTTCCAGGGGACAAATATTGCACCTAGTTGTTGGAACTGAAATGCTCCTGGTTCCTTATGGGACTCTTATCAACTTCTTCATGACTGCATTATTATCTGTGTCAATTCATACCACAGTATTAAAATTAAAAAGAAAACCTGGGTACAGTAAGAAAATTACATTGATGATTTGGGTGTTCCTTGATGTCATACTTTGAGCTGCTGTCACCAGTGCGGTGTAAGACAGCACTCTGCCACGTGAAACAAAATGTAAGTGAGAGATCATGGGCCAGTGTTATTACTGAAGGTGTAGTAGTACTTTTAACCCTAAACACTTGCATCTCTGTCAGCATATCAGAGACAAGCTGACCAGAGCTGTGCTGGCCAGGCACATTCAGAAACACCTGGGTGCCTGTAGGTGTTGTTGGGTATCACCTTGGAGTGTTTTTGGAAGATAGTAATAAGACATACCGTGGAGGGTTCTAAATTGTTGGATAACAATTTTCCTTTAATGATATAGTGGCTTTTAAATTTTATAAAGGATGATATTAATGTTAGTGAATCCACAATGTTTTCTTAATCTATATGAATTTTACCATGAAAAGATGTTTCCTTGATTTCAGATGGAATAATAGCATATTGTGGTGACTGAGGAATGAACTAATTTCTGTTGTTGTGCTCTATCTATGAAGAGGAGCAAGAAAGAGGAACTAATTTGTGTTTTACTCGTTGGTTGTCAAGCTCTAGAAAGACTGTGGAGTCGAGAGACTGCTGCTATCCACTTGTGTTGCATCATATCTCATACTATTTTTTAACATCTCTGTAGCTAGTGGCAAAGAATGTGGAGAGAAGAAAGAAAAGCAGATTAAAATTTAAGTAAGCAATAAGGTTCTGACACTTTGACGTTCTGGGAGCTCTGCATTGTCATGCTGGAAACAGCTCTCTCTTCCTAGACTTAGCAGCAGCAGAGTAAGGCACAGGTACTGTCCTTTGCCTACATGGGTGTGCTGGGGACCACGAGGCAGTGAAGAGAAATTAGTTCTCTATTTCTGCAGGAATCTTCAGTTCCACACTAAAAACATATCCCAGTGGAAAGGGACAATATTTAATCTTTTTTTACTATGCTTATAGAACCTGGTATCAGTGGTGAAAGGTTCACAGTTTAAAGCTCCTCAGACTGTTTACTATAGACCTACTGGGCTATTGGGGTGTGTGTTGAGCAAGTGGTAACTAATGGTTTGAAAGTCAAGGTTGATATGTCCAATTTGTTATGTCTCATTTGTTATATGAATGTGGGAATTCACTTAATTTCATTGTGATTTAGTTTATAATTTCGTAAAAGAAAATATCTCTGTCACAGATAGGAAAATAGTTTCAGATTATGGGTTCACTGGTATAACAGCAAACTGGCATGGACATGTATTAGCTCAATTAAAGGAACTGTCTTTATTGGAGTATTATAGTATAACAGCAGCAGTAGTAAAGTATATTAGTATTTATAATGTATGTAGCATATATTGGTATTTATAGTAGTCCAGTTCTGGCATTTTGAAGTTCAAGTTTAGATGAACCACAGCAGTGGAATTTGTAGACTCTGCTGAACTGTATGGGAGTGTGGACTTGAGCTAGCTAATTTAGGAGTGACTTAGATGCTTTTTACATTGCAATTACTGAAGTGATTTGGGTGTAATTTGCATCTGAAAAGGATGGGTGCTGTTGTGATAAACAGGAGGGCACTGAAATCATAGTATATTGCATCATGTCCTTGAAGTAGGTGGGATGCAACCATTTGTGTTCACTTTCACTAGGGGTATTGCATGGTGCCACATCTTCAAGGACACATATGCTTTTGGGTAGTAAATTTCACATTTAGTTTGATTGCAGCATACTTGCAATTTTTCCTCCTCTTGAGATGTACAACCAGCAAGAATTCTCAGCACTTTGGGGTGCTTTAAATGAGATTGTGCAGTTGCTGATCAATGCAGGGGTGGATTAGTCTATCAGCTTGCACAAGATTACTTGAAGGGAGCTTCATTTTAGCAATCTCTGCTTGAAACAGGGAGTTTAAGTGGAGTAAATCTGAATTTGGAGTCTAACAGACACTGAGGCCTGTGGTTTTTTGTTTCTTTGTTTTATTTTAGTATTTTCTTGTCAGTCTGTATTAAAGCATCCATTATTTTGTGCTTCTCATTCAGTTGTATCTTTGAATCAATTTTCTTCAGCTTACTAGGTACAGTGTAAAATACAAAATGCAGCCCATCCCCCAGAAGTAGCTTACTGTGGTTGCAATTAGTATTTTCTATGGTATGTAAAGTGCAAGGCACTTGCAGAGATGGTGTCTGATGGACTAACTTCATAGAACAGGATGCTCTTAGTACACCTTAACTGACCTAATGCAAAATGATTTTTCAAAGATGGCTTTATCCTGGAGAATGGATTAGAAGTCTACCCTCAAGCTCTGTATTATCAGTGCAGTTACTCATTTTCCACAGGGAATGATTCTGGCCAGTAAGTTGGCATTGTTGCAAAAAGCCAAAATACAGCTTCAGCTCCCTGCTTTGTAACTGCTCTTTGCAGGCTGATAGTGCTTTGTAAATACTTCTGTAGCTTGAGATCACCAATTCACATGAAGTTCAGAGTTGTGCTATATCTATCTCTTCGCATTTCTAAATTTCAATAGCACTGACACTTGCTTTAGTTAAATATTCAGCATATATTTGCTATTACATTCTTTGCAGCTATCCTTGGTAACAGCGTTTTGGCTCAGAGCCTTTCTAAGAGCCCTTGCACTCACACCAGTATTATTTTATTGGAAGGGAGATTGATTACAGGTAAATACTGCATTTCTTTTTTGAATTCTTTGGAAGAGGGGTGGATGTATTGGAGGCAGTTTCTTCCTGGGTACAACATCGTTCTGGTCCATTAAAAGTAAATTTAGCATGCAAGTGCCCATTTTAATGATTGATTTCATAAAGGGAAAAAATTGCCTAGTTAATCAACCATTCTTTGTCAATATTTGCTACCATCCACCCCCATACCGTTTTTCCTTCTGGTTATTTTGCTCTCCTTATTTATCTGTCAGATACTATATTGAGAACTC